TAGATAGCTCGAATCTTTATGATGCAATCTTAATTTAAATGGTGGGCCTTTTGTTTGCTCATGCATTGAGTGATATTAGTTCCCGATGTTACCTTGTTCACAAGAGCGGTTGTGTGATTTTCTATCATAAACAAGATCTCGCAGGTATTTTTATGTATTACATAGGTTTTTTTATCAATATTTTTTACCGGGGTTGCTTTGAGTAGAGCACTTTCGATGGATACCAGATATAGTCGCAGTCATTTTTTATTTTGGCCTTTTTTACTTTTCCTTACTTCGAGAATCCGGAGGAATGAGCAAAACAAGAAGAAGAAAAAAGGGTAAAAACTCTAAGAGAAGCTGATCTGGGCTTCAGGCCTACGGTTTCTTGTTGTCTCAAAAAGAAAATGTGAGGTGGTATTGCAATGTCTGCATTATCGTTTGCTGAAAGCTAACCAGAAGGGCACTAACTCATATACTTTAACACAGAGTTTAACACCCTTCTAACTCTTAAAAGACAGTATTTCCATCGGCAGGGTTCATAATCATACCAAACTAGTACGACTTGGGAAATGCATTAGACCTTGTGAGTTGAAGACCTTGAAAGGACTTATGATGATTTCAGTCTTGCGATTAGATGTGTATGGTCCCAGGGTAGCTAAATTCATGTACTTATGGAAGTTAAGCGGAATATATTCAATGATTTGATACACTCACCGTAAGATTGTGTGGTTTTTGCCGTCATCTATTTCTCCAGGTTTGTGAAACATCAATGAATAAATGTGCTGTTTTTTTATTTCCACAAAAATATTGTAGCAGGGTTTATTTGTAATTGAGAAAAAAATCAGCTTGGTTTTCAGTGATTGTGTTTGTAATATTTATTTAGTTAAAGGGACTTTGTAACATTGTTCAGATGAGAGGAAATGGTGCTAAGATAGTGACTTCAATGTTAGATGTACAATTAAAGATAATCTGAAAAAAGACCATTATTAATAATAAAAATGGGAAAAACTGATCTGATCGATTCCAAAAGTCTCCCAACTATATTATTACAATTTAATTACATTTTAGATGAAATTACATCGTCACAAAGCAATGAATTGGCTTTATATATCGATTTTGTTTGAAGTAATTTTGATTTGTGTACATGTACAGCGCTTTGAAACTTTTGTCACAAGCACTATATAAATTTGTCATATTATTATTTTTATTTTTTTTATTCCAGTCATTCATGTGTTGAACGATTTTTAAAAGCCTGTCTTATGTCTTATTTACATGGAAAAACGGTTGGGAAAATTCAAAAATGGTTGGGAGAATTTACTGTTAAAGGGTCTCTCACAGTAATGCCTTCAAAGGAAACCATAAATATATTTATGGTTTGAGAATTATTAAAGGATTTTCTGCATGTCAGAGGAATAGTACAGTAAAAGGAATATAATAAGTAACATTTCATACAAAAATTACGCATTTTTTTCATCAACCTTTAACAATGTTACTGATTCACTTTAAAGGTGTGTAAGACAGAAGGGACAACCAAGAGAGAGAGAGAGAGAGAGAGAGAGAGAGAGGGAAAGAAAGAGAGAGAGAGAGAAAGAAAGGAAAAGAGAAAAAGATAAAGAGAAAAGGAAAGAGAGAGAGAGAGAGAGAGAGAGAGAGAGAAAGAACAATACATATTCCATGCTTATGATTGCGTTTTTTTGTGTGATTTATCTTGTTTTCATTGAAAAATATTTTTGTTTGTATGCATCTTATTTAATGTACTGAAAACTTTATAATTATGTATATTGAAGAAATGATTTGTAATGTATGTATATGATTATGTACCATAAAACACAGAAATAAAAACAAAACAAACAAACAATAAACTATGTGTTTAATACAGCGTGCACACTGTGGTGTATCAGTTATCTCCTTCACTTTGATCATACGCAAATCAAGTTGTTTTCTTTAAAAAAGAGGAAGAAATGCTCTTAATTCTTTGAAGTTTGATGCTTTAAATCCTTGGATCCCAGAGTACTATATAGAATGGCATGTCATCCTTATAATATTATGGTTTAAGATCCTGTAACCACATATAAGAGGAAGGAGGAACAAATGGTGAAAACTGAAAGAGGCAAATAAACATGGTCACCATGACAGTCACACAAAGCAAAGGAAGTTCACACTCATATTCTTTTAAATGATAACAGCTCCAGGATTCACACTTTAGAAATACATAGCAACGCACATGTAGGTTATCAAAAGCAACTGTAACTAAATATATTATTGTAAATGTTTCACTTCAGGAGGCTTGTGTGACAGGCTTTCACAAAATCTTTGACAAGTTATAATCGAAACAATTGCTGTTTACCGGTATGGTTCTATAATTCGTCTATATCTTCTATATTCTATATTCTATATGTTCTATATGGTCCTATTTTCACGAAGTGACGGTAGTGAATGAAAATCGCATACAATTTGCGTGCAGATTTTCCTCACTACCGTCACTTCATGAAAATAGGAACAAATTATTTTCTAGCCATTGGATGATGTATAGATTCTAGAGTCTTGTCAATTATTCTACCCTGTAAATTTATTTCCAGATATAGTTAATCTCAGGCTTAATTTTTCATTGTTTTTGTATTGCTGTACTCTGGAGAACATGCTGAGGGTGAAGTGGTAACAAGACCACTGTGATAGTTGGCAGAGTATGATTGTTTTTGTTGTGTGTATGTATGTGTGACTTCTATGTGGGAATTCAACAGACTACATACTATATATGAATATCAATATATTTTGCAGTGGAGTTCAAACTCCAACACGTATAGCATTTTATTCTATATATGCAAAGAATTGACATCAAAGGCCGTGGAATTATGATAATAATGATAGTAATTCTGGAATAATATGGCACACTAATCTGCCTGAAATAGGCACCCAATTGATGAATTATAAGTTGATACAAGCATAAACAATTAATAAGTTTACAAATTTACAAAGACAAAACAATTTGAATCATGTAGATCAGTTGCTGATTGTACCACTTATTAGTACTGCAAACAGTGAAGTACAAGGGACATTTTTGTAACTGGGAATCTGTGAGAATGCTCAAAATATTCACCTTGGCTGTGGACGTACAGTGTAACTAGGAGAAGAAAAAATAAAAATGATGTAATTGGAGATTAATTTGTCCTAGAATGAACCATTTCTAATGTCAGGATGCTCAAAGCATTGGTCATAAAGTGTTTCTGATTGAATTTCATACTTCACAATGCCTGCCAGGGGGGAAAGGAGGCTGTTAAAATGATGTAATTGTCTTTCAGAGCAAGAAGGATATTGCCTTTATGTTGAAGTAGATGAGTTATCGCCCTTCTGGCTCCAAGCTGAGGAAATGTACCTAGCTTGATAAGTACATGATCAATTAATGCTGATTGTAGTAACCAAAACTCTACTCTGTGGCTATGAATAGTGTAATGGGAGAGATTTGTGAAAAGGCTGTAAAGTGATATGTTTTTATAATATGCTTCTTGCGATCAATAATTCAATGAGTAAAATCATGACGATGTAAAGTAAGAGCCTCTTATATAATGGAAACATATTTTTAGTTTATTACATTTTCAGACACTTGAACACAAATGCAAAGATTTCAAACTAAAGTAACTCCAACTGGAAGCAATTTCCATATCTTTGTGCGTCACCTATTGTAACGTGTGAACATGACAGTGTCATGTTGCATAATCTGAAAATGATTTCTCTAGGCAATACAATAGGGTATTGAAATTGCTCCGGAGTTGATTTCCTGATAGTCTTTGCGATAGTCGTGTTCTAAGAAGAAAGAGAATAATCAAGTATTATATTATTTCATTTGAAATATATAGTTTAATGTTAAAGATGTCAGGGAACTTATTGTAAGACGCATAGTATGAAATAAGATGAATCCTTTACACGCCCCGCCCTTCAACAAATTCATTTTCAAAAAATTTGTATTTTGTGGGGAGTGGAAATATTTATCAAATGCTATTAATGTGTGGGGGTTGACTGAGATAGTCATAGGTTGTTTTTATTCTTTAAAAAGTGCATATATCATCCGTTGGGGGCCAGAAGGGTATAAACTCCTCATGTAATTTTACACAGATTTAATGCCCTCTGGCTCCAAACCGACAATTCATGTATGTCATTATCCTGTGGCTGTGTGAACACCTTTCTGGGATTGAGTTATACTTCCATCCTTCATTTACTCACATGATTATACAAATGGGAATAAGTTGTGTGTGACTGGTTGCAAGGCTAGATATTCGGACCCTGGGATTCCAGGATACCGCTGAATGTTGCATCGAACTTGAAAAGTATGTACTAGATAGAGAACAAGGAAGTGGGTAGAAAATGTTGAAGAGAGAAGGAGGGGAGAAAGGGGGAAAAGAGAAGGAAAGAGAGAGAGAGATAGGGTGGAGAGGGAGAGAGAGAGAGAGAGAGGGGGGGGGGGGTTAAGAACAATGAGATAAAGGAAGATGTATTGTAGACAAAGGGAAGGAGAGAGATATGAGAGATGGAAAGGGGGAAGAGAAGGAAAGAGAGAGGGAGAGAGAGAGGGTGGAGAGGGGGAGAGGGAGGGAGAGAGAGAGAGAGAGAGAAAGAGGGGGGGGGGGGGGTTAAGAAAGATGAGATATAGGAAGATGTATTGTAGAACAAGGGAAGGAGAGAGATATATGAGAGAGATATATATAGGTAATAAACAAAAGAAACAAAAATATTGAGAGGGAGAGAAAAGGAGAATGGGGGAGGGATGATCTGAGAAATAGTGAGGATGGGGCAAAGAGAAGAAATCGGGAGAGAAAAGTAAGTGATGGATTTTATGCACGGTAAAGTAGAGTGATAGATGGCATGCATTAATTGAGAGCTTTCGGGCTTAAAGGGAAAACGTCCTTCTTTTTTTTAAGTTAGTATGTGATACATAATTAATCAGGACAATTGAATTGTATTTATAGTGGTATATGAGCCTTATATTCTATTCATTGAAATTTTTTCCTATTTTCTGTTTCTAGGTTCTGGATTAATAATTTCCCCATGCACTTTGACCTGGACAAGGGCCTGGCAGGGGTCATGAGTCAACTCCAGAAAATCATCCAATCAGAAGGGAACACACAACTTAAACAAGTTGTTGATATTTCAAATGTGTAAGTATGATGTTAGGTCTAAATTCTGAATTTTGAACTGACGAAAGACTGATATTAATCAAATTATGATAATGCCGATGATCATTATAATATTTATACTAAGAATTCATCATTCATTCATCATCCTTTGCAATTCTCTTTTACAGTTACATTCATTGGTTATTTAATTCAAATTAATCAACATAAATCTATTTAATGAGATGATGACTGTTCAATTTCAATGTTTTATGTTGTTATCATTTGGCAATGAAAATTAAAATATTGTGGATGACCCTTTTTGGAAGCATTCTCCTTTTCTTTTCTTTTCTTTTCTCTTCTGTGCAATTAGAGGCTATTGTCAGTAACAAAATCAGTCATTATTATTATGACATAAAAGTGATCATGTTGAATTTTCAACCAAAAAAAGGGGAAGAAGTCTTAAATTTGAGATTAGAACTTTAAAAAGCCCCCTTGTCTAGTTATCATTCTCATTCTGTTCTCGTCATTAATTTTGTCTCTATCATTACCATCGTCTTTCAGGCCATCGTATGACTGGATGAGGGTGATATCCGTAAGGAACCCATCGGTACGGACCAATAGGAAGGTCTCACTGGTCTTCAATCATCTAGAACCCAAGGAGCTGGCGGACCATCTCACATTCCTGGAATATAAGATCTTCAGAAGATTAAATGTAAGTGTGGGTCCTGTGGGAAAGAGTGCTCACATTTTATTCAACAGCAAAAACATGTTTAATATAACTCTTATGTTGAATGTGTGAGATTCGGGGCTATTCTTATTCAAAGTGTGTATTAATATGAATTTACTGTTTCAAATTTTACTTTGAATTCTTAAATTTAAATTTGAACTTGACAATCCTAAAGACTTCTTTATCCATACAGATGCTCTCTTTCATAGTAGATAAATAAGTTGTTACCAGGGATTTGTGAAGTGTAGAAATTGATTTAAAAAAATTATTCAGGTGTATATAAAAGAAACAGAGATATGGTTGATTGAGGGGGGAGCCACTGGATAAAGCAAGTTGCTCAGAGTATTTTGAAGTTTTATTTACCATCAACATAATGCAACTATCATTGGTTTCTGCTCTTATTGAGTGTGCTCTACGTAGAAATTATCGAACACCAAAGTTTCACTCTTCTCTCTCCACTAGTTTGCTGACCTGAAGAGTTACGCCCTTTCTGGTCAGCTGAAGGACAACTTAAAGCTGGAGCGGTCCATTGGTCTCTTCAATGGCCTTTCACTGTGGATAGAATGCATGGTACTAAGTAGACACACTCCCAAGCAGAGGGCAGAGGTCATTACAAAGTTCGTACATGTGGCAAAGGTCAGTTGAAAAGTCCTGCACGATATTTATAAATGAAAAGAGAAAAAAATAGAGAAGCCGATTTCACAGGTCAAGACAGTAATGTGATTTTTTTTTCTTCTGATTTCTCGCCCAAATTCCTGACCATATTATTCTTTAAGAGATAAGTGTTTAAAAAAGATATCACTATTAATGCTTTTGGTATTACAGACTGCGATTCAATACTATTCCAATATCCCAGTTTTATTCCCTGTTCGAGAAAGAAAGAATTATATCATCTCTGATCGAAAATTGCATTAAATATGTGTCTAAAGATGTGTGTAAGAATTATATCATCTCTGATTGAAAAGTGCATTGAAAAAGTGTCAACAGATATCTGTACAATATTCATCGATCATAACCAATTGTTTTGAACCAAAAATTATGAAGAACATATATATTTTGTTTTTCTTTTAAATTTTTCCTTCCAAATATTGTTAGGAGATCGGGCATTTGCATGTGCAGGCTTAAAATTATGGAATAACTTAGCAATTAGAAATTGGGAAATCACCATCGTTAAGTACTTTTGAATTGAAACTAAAAGCACATCTTTTCATTTAACTTTATGTTGTAGATTTTAAGTACAGCAGGAACTCATGCAGCACAGTAGTATTTATTTGCACAGTGTCAGCACTTTATGAATGTACATTATCATTATTACTACTTAATTGTGTTTTTTGTGGATTAACAGAGGTTACGGCAGCTGAATAATTTCAATACCTTGATGGCTGTGGTAGGAGGTCTGAGTCACAGCTCCCTGGCAAGGTTACGCCAGACGACTGCTCATGTCTCGTCAGAAACGCAGAAAGTGAGTTATCAAGATCAGTGTTTCTTTTCCCTATTTTTGTTAAGTCACACTTGCTAATAATAAAAAACCTCAATTTTAGTTTCCCTTTAATAATATTTGATGTTGAATCTTCTATTATAAGGGAAATTGTGCTTTTATGAAGACTTTTCCTGTCTCCCTTGAGTATACAGACTTGACTTTTTTTCCATCAAACACAAACAGAGATTGCAAGTGAGGCATCAATTACTTGCATATTTCAATTTCATCCTAACATAGTCATTAGATATCAACAATTATGACAAAGGCGTTGAGATAAATTTTGAGAGGCCTCTCTTGAAGACAATCTTTTGCTATTTACTCTTATATTCATGACCAATGTCAATGATGGTACGCTGCTCTTTGAAAATTTTCTTTTAAGTTTTGTTTGTCGTTTGATGAAGGATCTGTAAAAATATCTCCTAAATAGAGATATGTACCGGTAGTCAGATCTTAAATTACGCATTTAACCTTATCAGTTTCCATCCAAATTATAATTGCTTCATTTCTTCTTCTTCACTGATAAATCACATTCTCCTTGTTTACAAATTATGGCCTAGAAATATATTCTTGTTGATTTCTTGTAGAATCCTTCATTCTGATAATGTACATTGAACCAAACTTACCATTGTCACCTAAATCCTTATATGATTTACACCTGTCAGGCAAAGGTGCATTACCAATCAAACATAACCAATTTCTAACATCTTTCTATCTTAAACCATCAAGAGTTCAAGTTGGCAAACTTTCTCATACAACAGTTTTAAAGGTACTATGTCCCTTTTGCAGCCAACCTCAAATTCTGTAGAACTTTGCAGGAATTATGAATATGTCATGTATGTCCTATCTGTGAAATTTGAACATTATCAGTGTCCTCATATTCAAATTATGCAAGGAAACCCGTTTACTTGCTAGACGTCATTGTCAGACACTATTGAGTGACTGACTGGCTTTTTCCCCTCTTTGGTAATAAAATGAGCTCTAAAGGGTACATGAGCATTTATCTACATCAATAACCCACTTCTTGTGATGGCCAAAATTAAACTGATTGAATCTTTGCACAGCATAAAACGTATGACCATTCAGTACAATGGTCTGAAAATCAAGACTCTTACTTATTGGCTCTAGAGCTCCAAAGTCAATTTGACAACTTGAAGACATTTTCAAGCCCCACCTTTTTTTAGGGAAGTTCTAAATTAGTATTATCTTTCAAATGCCGTTGGAATTTAACCTTTTCATTTTTTTGGCCTGCAAATGGGACATAGTACCTTTAATGGATGAAAACTGAGACTTAGGTGGAAAGTGCTCTATAAGCACTTTTTAATAATTTTTATGGATGCTTTGTCCACTCCAATAGTGATAAATTTGTTCCACTACTCTTGCAACCATAATGTAAATGTATTCAATACAATGTTTCTGTTGTAATGATATGTAAGGGTGTGGATATGGTTGGAACATTTTTACAATCCCTACCTGTGGTACTAACAGATTGTATAAGAGAGCTACATTGAATATATATATATGTATATGATTGAGACAAGTTCTGTGTTTTTTGTTGTTATGAAATGGTTTACCATGACAACAAGCCATCTTGTAATAATAATAATAATAATAAGATATTTGTATACCGCAAATTCCAAATTGCCTCTAAGCGGTTTATCTTCTATTCTACTCTTTTAGATCAGCACAGAGTTGTCGGAAATGTTATCATCTGCAAGTAACTTTAGCAACTATCGCAAGGCTCTAGCAGAGGCCAGAGGATTCAAGATTCCAATCTTGTAAGTACAATGAATCCTGTAGATAGTTTGACCCTTTCGGTCTCATGAGCAGTTAACCTCTTTTATATGCCACACAAATAATGTCCCTGTGCCGTATTCTATTTATCATGGGTAGATTTACTGATGGTTTCAAAATTATTTAACGATAAAGACCAGTTATGGTCATGCGATCGCATTGTGAAAGAAACGTTGTGGAATCGATCAGAAAAGGTTGATCATCTAGCATATAAGTATTGGTGTTTACTGCAAGGTTCTGGAATCATCAAAATCATAAGAAATTTGGCCCAGTCTTGGTAAAGTTACAAGCACTGTACACAGAAAGATGTATATGGGACTACGCACACATGTGCGACGCGTGCGTTATATCTATCTGGTCCAAATAAATATAATAATTTACCAAATATATCAATTAGTAGGCGGTTTCTCGGCAAAATTTGTATGATCACGTCAAAACGTATTCTTTCACATGATTGGTAATAAGAGCTTCCATTTCATTTTTTGAGAGGGGGGGGGGGGGGCATTTCCAAAACTGGTCTTTACCTTTAACTGTTTTCAGTGCAAGATTGATTTAGTCATTGGTAGTGAATGGGTTGTCATGGAGCTAATCAAGACCTTAAAGTTGTAAATTTGCAAAGCAATCCTTACAACAATTGTTAGGTTAGATGCTGCTTGTAAGTGTCTGCTTGCATGGTGATGTAGATATACAGTAGGCTTGCGGGTGCACCATGTGAGAGAGAGAGAGAGGGTTGAGGAGTCACTCCTGACGACGGATAGTCAACCTGTTCGAAACCTCGAGCCACTCATCCTCTCCAAGCGCTATAGTTCTCCTTAGAACTATATGCTAAGAAAGATAACAAACAGTCCTTTTCAGGACTCCTCAACCCTCTCTCTCTCTCTCTCTCACATGGTGCACCTGCAAGCCTACTGTATAGTTGTTAGGTTGTTGGGTTTCCTCAGAAGCTTCATTCTTATCAAACCTCAGGAAAGTTAAACGCCTATTTTCAATGATTAAATGTATTAAGAAATAATCTTTTCAATGATTATAGAGATTAAAAAACTCTCTTTTTAATCCTAACGTTTATAGATTATGATAAGTCTTCATCAAAATGTTTTTATTGGAGGAGAATAGGAGTTTTGGGTTTCGCTTTCATATGAATGCTTTTTCCTTGACGTCATTGAAACCTTTCAAAAGCAGCTGTATTTGAGCATCTTGGCCTAATGATTATGATGGACAGTTTGATTGGTTTCTTTGAATTTTATTGTACCATTTAAAATTCATTGTCAATTTTAAGTGTTTTGCAACTACCAGTATTAAATGTAACATATAAGGCTTCATTGAAAAGCTCTCTCTTGTAATGACTATTTTACTAACATTGTGGCTGTGTTTCTAGTTGGAACCAACTATCTGAACCAACATTAAACATGTTTCAAGCATGGTCAAATTCATATATATATTTGCTGATCTATTTCTAGACTGCAGAGATACATATAGTGCCTGGAAATCAAGGCTGCCCCAACAAATTTGTGTGTATTCTTATAACTCTCATATCTCTTTCTTTTCTGTAATCCATCACGCATTTATAAAAAATCACTTGCTTCTAAACTAGAGAAGATTCATGCTCTACATGCTTGGTTTAATGAGGTAACATTAATACTCTTTCCATTCTGATTGTAATCCGCTTAAAGGCGTGGTTCTATGGTATAATTAATCCTACTTATTTTCTTCTGATTTAATTCCCTATGGCTTCTCTCACGCTGCCCCCTCTCTCTCTACTCTGGTGTATGCATATATGCAGAGGTAAGACTACTAATGTCATATTTCAAATGAAATGATAACAAAATACTGGTACTTTTAGGGTACAAATTACGTAAAAGGGAATAACATTCTTTCAAATGATTTTTAGTAATTTTCAGTGATTCTACAAAACTTGTTTTCAAAACTTCTTATTCCCATATCTCCTTTATAATGTTTCACAGACAGGAAGAGAGAAACGGAGATGGAAAGGTGTTAGGCATTTATATATAAAATCAATTATCCAATTTATTGTTCATTCTGAAAAACAAAGGACCAATTCTATTCATTTACTGTTCTATGTTGTTCAAACAGAAGTTCACTACCGAAACAATGTGGCTCAAAAAAGCAATAATTATTGTTTAAAATATAACCATTTGATATTGTTACCAATCAGTAATATATTATTTTAAGTTATTAAGTTATTAAAAGTTATTAAGTTATTCAGTTGCTATCCCATTTTATAAGACAGGCAAGATTTCATCAAAGCGACTTTTATATATCATATTTGTTTTACCAAAGCTCGTTCTCCGTTGTTCAAGAGCTCTTTTTTAGCTTACCAGAGCTGAATCACTCACCACACCCATGAATGTTTTTTAATTCTTTCTCAGGGGTGCATTTGAAGGACCTGATCCTCCTCCACACGGCGCTCCAGGACAAGACGGAAGACGGTCACATCAACATGCGTAAGATGGCCCAGCTCTCTCTGACCTTCGTTGAGCTGATGCAGCTACAGAACTGCAAACCACCCCTAGCAGCCAACATGGACCTTGTCAACATGCTCAGGGTAAGACCAAGAATTTCTTCTGGTGGGACAGAGCGAGAGAGGTGTAGACTCTGTGTAAAATATGTGAGCTATTGTCTTTTTGGCTCACAGCACAGCCAACAAATTTCTGTCCTTCTTTTTAACTAATTTAAAATTAGACGATATTCTTTAATTGTAACCTGAAAGAAAAAAGAATAAATTTGTACTGACCTTTTTGCTATGGAGAGGTAAGGGAGTGTAGCAGAATCTTCCATCATTTTCATTCACTACTATTGCAGATATTTTAATTCCAAACCATACCTTTCATTGCTGATAAATCTGTACCCAGGTTATTGTGCAGAGAAAAATATTTCAGCTAAACAGTATAGATACTTTTGGAGCGTATATGAGGCCTGGGAGGTGTTTCACAAAGACTAAGATGGACTTTAAGTTGGACTTAACTATGGCAGGCCGTTCATGCCACTGTTTGCTCTCACCATTATGATCTTGAAATAATATTTTTCCTTTGAATAAATTATTAAAAAATGTAAATTCTGTAGATATGTACATGATGTGTACATCCCTTGAGAAAACAATGCCAGTAAATGGTGAGAAAAAACAGAGGCATGAACCGCCTGCCATAGTTAAATCCAACTAAAAGTCAATCTTAGTCTTTATGAAACATCCCCCTGATTGAGTAGTGTGATATATAATGTGATGTTATGTTCTTTTATCTCCAGGCTTCGTTGGATCTACAGTACACAGAGGATGAGATCTATGAGCTATCCCTGGCAAGAGAACCAAGAAATTCAACCAGTACTGTAAGTAAATTGCAGCAGGAAATGTACCCCTGCCCCCTGTACATTTCTCTCTCTCTCTCTTTCTCTCTTTCTCTCCCTCTTTCTCTCACTATTTCTCTTTATCTTTCTATGTCTCTCTCTCTCTCCCTCTCTCCCTCCCTCTAGTGCTTTCTCTCTGTCTTTTTCTTGCTGAAATTTCTCCTCAACTCTCATAATATATTCTTACAGAGGAAATGGGGGGGGGGGGGGTGAACATAATAATCCTCCACAACCTCTATCTTAACTCCCATCTGACCGCATTCTCCCCTCCTCTCCCTCTCTCTTCTGTTTGTATGGTATTGACTTATACCCCAGTACGACAATCACAGAAAAAACATCAAGATTTTTTTTAGATATTGCCTGCTTCAGGATATTACTATTTGACTGATTATGACGTTATATAGCAACAACAACTTTTCTATTTTTGCATCCCACACAGCCCCCTACTCCCACCAAGCCAGCCGTGTTTGCGGAGTGGGCAGCCGGTGTGGTGCGGCATGCTGACCAAGAATCCATCGCCAAACATGTGACTGCTATGGTAGAGGTAAGGAGAATTTTACTACTCAGAAATACGCCACTATGATCGTATCACCCCACCAGTTAATCTCATCTTGCTTTACAAACTACGCCAATTATACCGTGGTTCATCTCCAAGATGGACAAAACTGAAAACTTGATATGAAACAGATTTTTACATATTTTCATATCCCAATTATCTTTAAAACGAAAGACATAATTTTACAATAATAGAGTTCACACCACAAGCAATCATCCCACAACATAATCTTAGTATATGACATTGAGAATAGCAACCTAGATACATGTACAAATACTTCTACAGGTTTTTTTGCTGTCTACATGGTCTAATCTTGCTTTATTTGAAAAAATGTAAACCAATTATACTGCAGTTGATATATGTTGCTGACAGAACTCAAATATTGATATGAAATTGCTGTTGAAATCCCAGTGATTTTTTATACATGCAAGTAAGAAACCTAGATGTACACTACAAGCATATTACCTCTTTGCATCATCTTATCTTACTTTAGGAAGTAGGCCACTCGTACTCTAGTTCAAGTTTGTTGCACATAGAACTGAAAGATTGATACAAAATTGCTTTGAATACTTTCATACCCCAATGAAAGGAATAAAAGTGACAAGATCGAAGTACACCACAAGCATACCAACTGTTGAGAGCCAGAAGGGCATTGACACTGTGTTAGAAGTATATGAGTTAACACCCTTCTGGTTCCAAACAGACAATATAAATGATCTCACTGGGTAGTCTCGGTATAAACCTTACAGTTGCAAACTGAGTACTTCATATTTTGTCCTCTGAGCTTCCAAAGAAAATATCTTCAAAAAGGATGTTTTGAGAAGCAAGCTAATTCCATCCTCTGCTCTGGCTGATCTTGTCTGGTTTAGACTGTTCTCTCGAGTGCCATTCATCATCTATAGAGGGAGCATTACGGCACGTATTCGTAAACATACTCGACCCACGCCCTAGATTAAATGTAGAATGCACAGTGGGGATTGCGAGCGAGAATTAGGTTGCCACCCTCAAGGTCATTCAAAGATTATACAGCAGAATAATATTTGTGTTGTGTGTCTCTTAGCTGCTTTTGTCATCTCAAATAAACAAAGGCAAAACATTTGTTGAAATTGTTTGAATTAGCATAAATGCACTTACATTAACAAATGCAGAGCATTAGAACATTATCTCTAACCAATAGACTATATATACATTAAAAAACAATTCCAGAAAGAAACAATAGGCATTGGCCATTTCAAGTATTATATTTCATGTCTTAGATAACTTGAAAACAAAAGTAAATATGGTGTGTGGGTCACATTCCAAAGAATTGATTACCCAAGTGCAAAAAGAGTCTCTTGAGTAACATCATGATTTCTGAATATGCACCTTTTCTTGTAATGCTTTTAGATTGAAAAATGGAAACTGCAGCATGACACATTATGCTTACGGATTGTGAAGAGGTATTTTTCCTGTGTATTGAAAACAATTGCTCTGTGTGAAAGCAATTTTTATTTCTGTCCCCTCTTCTTCATTCTTATTGTAGGCTGTGTTCAAGAATTATGACTTGGATAAGGATGGTTACATCACATACACTGAGTTCCAGAGTATAGCGACCAGCAACTTCCCCTTCATGGGCTCATTCTGTGTACTGGATGCAGATCGGTAAGAACATCTTGAAATATCAGGGCCCTGTTGCATAAAATTTACCACTGATGGTAACTTTCCCATCAATATTAACTACCATGGCGACATCACTCAACAGCCAATCATATCAAGGTTTCCATGGAAGTAATCGTTAATGGCAAAATTACCAACAACGGTAAGTTTTATGCAACAGGGCCATCAATATTATCCCTAAACTCTTGATCCCTACCTCAGGGTTTTATACTGCTGATTTCTTGCCCAGCTTGTTATCAAAATCTATTTGGAACTTTTGCAATTCACAATATTTATTTTTCTCGCCCAAATTGTTAAAATGTGTACTATGTTTAATACAATAAGGATAAATTTGCTCTGCCTGCCTGGCCAGACAAGTGCAGAGAACTGTAGGTATTCAGAAAGAAAGGTTCTTACACTATAAGTTTGATAAGGCCAATACTATCCTCTATTAAGATTGTCTTGTCTTCCCTTCACCCAACATGGTTAGCCTGAACATCAGTGTTAAGAACCCCAGGCATTCATACAGATTAGTTATTACCATACTCTTTCTGTCATTATGCCAGTGCTGTACTTTGTCTTGACCATCTTTTCTTGATTGCTCTCTGTACAGGGATGGCCTGATCAGCAAGCAGGAGATGCAGTCGTACTTTGTGCGAGCCCACAGCCTGGCTCTCAGCACCAGCTTCAAGCATAACTTCAGCGTTCACACCTACTTCAGCCCGACCTTTTGCGTCCACTGCACCGGCCTCCTCTGGGGCCTCATCAAGCAGGGCCACAAGTGCAAGATCTGCGGCGTCAACGCCCACAAGCACTGCAAGGAGAGGGTGGTCATGGAGTGCAGGAGCAAGAAGTCTCTAGGTCTTAACGGCAGCATGATCTTGTCGTCGACTGGCACTCAGTCGCCTACCGGGAGCTCCCTGCAACGGAGGCATACTATGGATGGTGGAGGAGGTCCTTTTGTCAATGGCATGAATGGCATGAATGGGCTTAATGGGCATAAGGAGACCAATGGCAGTAAGTACAAAGGGATGTGGGTATTCTTATATGGTTAGCACAATATGATTATAATGATTTTAAATACATTTAGGGAATGTCCATCAATTTATTGCAGTTCAGATGAATACAAATCAATTAAATTTAAATGATTATTCTCAATCAACTTAGTTGAACAAGTTGAACAACTTCATTTTGATAGTACACTTCTGAAGAAGGTTTCTGAACCATATAGATGAAGACTGTCAAAGGTACATGTATTTAACTCTCGAATATGTTGCAGAACTTATCCATCATATTCATCCAACTTCATTTCAACAACTGTCATCGAGATTGATCCATATCGATTAATCTTTAGTCAGTTTTTTAATAATTGTTTCTTTCATTTTCATGATCCTTTTAATGTAATCAACTGAAAAGAAAATTATAAAACTGAGCTACATTAGGGAAGTGCAGTAAAATAAGATACACTTTAAGAGAATTCCTTCTGTCTATTGTCCCCCAGCAGGTAAAACTAAGAACATGTCATGGGAGGACAAGAGACGCATCTCACTCCGGCAGAAGACATGCCTGATCGAGACCGCCACCCAGACCGAAGACCTCATCCCAAACACCCCTCCAGACTCGGACAAGGAGTCGGAAGAACAAGACATCGAGGTCGACCAGGTGCACGACCAGGGGCACGACCATGGGGGAATCATATGCGATGGACGGAGGTTGAGTGAACTCAGTGAGGACGAGAGCACAAGTAGTTTTGGCGATCACGGGAGCACGGCAGGAAGCGACTCGAGCGTGTTCTTGAGGTCGCCCAAACCCGGCATGAAAGATAAATTGATAATGGCTGAAAGGGTAATTACTTTTCATTATCACACATTGAATAATACAATCAGGAATTGCTCCAAAAAGAGTTGAAACCATTTTTATTTCTGATGGTTTTATTGTTGTAAGGCTCTGCTGTGGTGTCCCAGTCTTGTCCATCACACATTACATCAGCTGTTTCTGATTGCTCTTTAGTGTATCGGTTCTAACAATATCCTAGTCAGTGACATTACATGATAGTCTCCACAGTTGGGTAAAATTCTAGCAATCAAAAACTTCAGGATATCTCTCCCATTGGAAGGAAGATGGATCAGTAAATACAATCAAACCTGCTTTAGTGACCACCTGTCTACAAAGACCACATTTTTTGTTTGCCTTGAAAAATGGTTTCTCATTGAAACATGCACTAAAGGAACCTGTCTAAAAAGTCCACTTTTTGTGTTTCCCTTGGGCGGTCGCTATAGACAGGTTTGACTGTACCACTAATGACAATGAAATTCCAGAGTTTAATTTCAGACTTCACTCATAAGTTTAAAAGATTATGTGGGCTCATCTTTCAAATTCTTCCTCTGTGTAGTACTTTTACTCTGCAGCCTTTTAAAGAATTTCATGTCCCTTCTTCATACTTAACAGGACCGTGATTCGCTGCTGGTTGAAAACAACCGACTGAAAGTAGAGATGAAAGGCATCGCTGACAAGAACCATCAGCTGGAGCACCACCTAGAGATGATCAAGAGACATACGGTGTCATTTATCATCGACCAGATGGACTCACTTCATGTGCAGAAAGACACTACTGTGTAGGGGTGGTTACAATGCCAGGACAAACAACCATTAATGTTTGGAATACTATATTAACAAAAGGACACTACTGTCTAGCAGCGGTATCCGCATCGGGACGTGCCATCAACGTTTGGAATGCTAACAGAGAGCTTGAAATCCCCTTGAGAACTGGTTATGAACAAATGCCAGTTGCACCAGAATATAATTTTGATATCTTGTGTTGAACTTGCCCCAACCATGTATGGAAAGGCTTGAATTGGAAAGAGGTTTTATTCTTATCAGGACTGGAAGGAGTGTCATAAGAAAGGTGCTCTGTAGCGCTGGGAAGATTTGTCGCAGCTAAGGAAACATTCTCTGAAGTAACAGATCATCTATTTTTTATTTATGTAAAGATTCTGTTATTCTCACGAATGGATGTATCAGCCCGTGGAAAAAGATTTTTGATTTGGAAACGCAAACATATTTTTGTTACCTTGGAATAAGGATTGGAAACATTGGATTCATCTTAGTTGCATTTTGAAGGTCTTCCTGCTATGTAAAGAAAAGTGCAAGTGAACCTTGCAACCCAGACAGTCCTTGAAGACATTCTTATCGGAGCCTTTGTCTATGTCACTTAAGGGCATCTTTTCAATATTTTTACCAGTTTTGTTTGTAAATGAGGCAAAGTGAAGACAGTTTTTTCTTTCTTGGAATTGTGGAGAGTTTTCTTAAGAGACTTCTTCAGATTGCACAAATTTTTGCTACTACTTGAGGCAAATGGCTGATCATGATGCAACGATGACAACACAGAAACTAAAACAGAAACTCGACAGGGGACCATGTTGAGAGAGACAGATCCTATCTATTGGATATTCATAGACAGAGGCCTGCCACTACCTGTGCCATAGATCATTGCAGACTCCTTAGATCTGTCTACAAGGCATGCACCAACACTTGCTACAACAAGACGTACCAATCGATATTGCAAAAGCAAATAAGATTGACCGGCAAAGACATTTTGCCGTGACATGGCTATAAAACATGGTGTATTTCTACCAAGACACAAATTTATCTTATGCATATTCTACGATGCCTTGTACATTAGATGACTGTAGCATTCATTGCCCTATCAAGATGGCTGAGCTGTGACATATCTTTACCAAGTGCTTTGTAAAACAGAAACAGAGGACGATTAGCCGAGCCATCCTGACTGCATTCTGCTATTGCCACTGAGTAATAGTGAAAGAGACAAAAGATGTTGTTCAAATTTCCAGTACCTTACAACTGCAACTCAACGCTGCAGAGACAGAACATCTACTGAGAGCCAGTGAGGCATTACCAACGAACAAAGCCCTTCTTGCTCTCAGCGGCAAATATGTTTCCGAAGTGGAGGAACTGGATTTGTAGTATCTTACAACAGCTACTAGTGGCCTGCATAGCGCCAGAAGGATGTCAACTCATCATGATCTGGATATAGTTTACAAGCTTCAGCTGGCTCTGCTGTGTTTTAAAAAAGTGGTGGAATTGAAACATTTTTTTATTCCAAGGCATTAGAGATAGATTACATTATGAGGCTATCAAATATTCCTGAATGTATTAGATTCCATTCTTAACTGATGTATATATCCTGGAAGAGACTAGATTTTTGTAAGATTTCTTTTTTTATTTCATAGATGCTGCATTATGAAATGGTAGCATTTCCCCTGATGAAACAAAATATTCATGTAAATATATCTTACCTCTTGATTATGGACAAGTACTGCTAGACAAAAGGGGAATAAATATTGCAAAACAAAGTATGTTTTTTTTAATGTAACTTATAAGTCAGCTTTTTAATCTGTGTCTATTTTTGATGGAAAATATTCTTTATTGCATGAGACAAAACAGGACACAAATTTATTCTATTTAAAGCATGCTTCATATACAAGACTCGTTAGACACAGCTGCATATTGTTGATTGTTGATGAGAAGTCTCACAAATTCAGTTCATACCTTTGCTTTCTCTCATTGTGCTATATGAGAGAAAATAATTTTTATCATTTTCTTTTTAATACTGGCTACAGTGATGGTTTACTCGCTGTATATGTCATACATCAGGTTGGGAGGAAATACAGTGCTATGACTTTTCAGTAATGTACATACACAGCTATATTTAACTCTACAAGTGACAGTCAACACAAAACGTTAAGCATTGCAATCACTTTGTTACTCTTCAAAGAAAATAAATTTGTTACCTGCTGAGTTTGAACGCACAAAAATGATGTTTCCATGAGAATTCACTGCTGCTTCTTTACTATTTAAAACAGGGAAGCGCTGCATCTTTGAATCTACTGTATTATAGGTTTTAAATGAACGATTAATATCATCATAAATGTATCAAATTACAATCAAATTATTTAATGAAAAACTATTTCAGACTTCAAGAAAAAAAAAATTTCATCCAGAACCAAATATTCTTAAGGAATATAAATGCACTTTCAACCGAAAGGGCTTTTTCAATATTTTGTTTGCATTTGTTGCAAATTTATCAAACAACATCATTAAAACATTCCAGCATGTGCTTTTATAGATAACACTCAAGATAGTCTGTTTACATTTCCATACTTCTGTGTTTTATTTATTGTCTGATTTGAATTGCAATCTAATTATAAGAGTTATTACATTCAAAGAATTGAGTGCTGATATAATCCATTGGAAAAAGAAACAGAACTCAAGAGGAATTAACAAGAAGAAAAAAAAAAGCATCCATTGATACTTTGAAGATTCAGGAAGAATTAGGTAGTTTAGGAAACTAAAATGTCAGTTCTACATCTTTAGATCGAGAGATAGTCCCTTTAAACCTCAGTTTTTAGTGAAATAAGTCTTATATGCCTGTCTTTTAAATATGATTAGTTCTTCTTATGATTATACAAATTTTTGAATTCCTACGTTTAGGCCAGGAAGAGGAAGAAAAAGGGATAGACATTGAGTGGGAGAGACACACACTTGAATAGAAATAGGGAACAGAAATGAAAATAACACACAGACAGCTGAAGTTACAGATAGATATGTACAGACATATGGACAGACAAGTGTACAAACTCTTGGGACCAGACAGACAAACAGATAGGACATAAACTGGAGAAGCAATGGAAAGAGGACAGAGACAGACATACAGACAGACAAGTAATGAAGAGACCAAAAGGCATGGACATTGAGACACAGACAGACAAAAACACACAGGTAAGTAATCCTTTAAATGGACAAAAAGACAGACAGTCATTCAAGTATTTGAATAGACAGACATGCTACATAGAGGGCAAAGAGAGATATGGATGAGCAAAAAAGGCACAGACAGATAGGAGATAGAGTTACAGACATAGACAAACTGACAGACAGATAGTAGCAGATGTAGACTGACAGACAAACAATTAGAAACAGACTAATGGATGAACAGACTATTAGAAGCAGAAAGAGTACAAATAAGTAAACACTTGGACTGACGGACAAGTCTACAATCATTTGGATTGACAGATAAGATGAGTGGAAGGCAAAGAGAGGGAGAAATGGATAATAAATAAAACAAGAGACACAGATGCAGGAAAGAAATAGAGATAAAGATACAGACAAACTGACTGACTTGTAGACTGACAGACATTGAGGAGCAGTCAGTAAACAAATATGTGAATGATGAGAAACGTAAGGACAGACATTCCTACAAACAAGCATTTTGACAGACAAGACGAACAGGAAAAGAGAGAGAGAGACAGATATAGAAATGAAATGCATCAACAAACACAGACAGATATGAGCAAAAGTTACATAATCGGACTGACAGATAGACAGACAACGAAACCAGACAAATGATGAGAAGCAGATTAAAAGAATGACTGGTAGAAGATGAGAAACAGACAGAGACGCACACGAATGGACAGACATTTATGTACAGATGTATACACTACAGATAGCTTGACAAATATTCTGATAGATATAGAAGACCACTAAACCGAAGAGAAAAAGAGAGAACAAAGGGATGGATAAACAAGAGGCAAAATTGAGATAACGACACAGTCGGAATTGGACAAAACACTGACAGACAAAAGATTGGAAGCAGACAAAGAGACACACAGATGGACAGATATACGACTGGACCTTAATTTTCAGACTTTTAAATATTGACAGGACCAATTTTCTATTTTAAATGCTTATAATAGAGAAATGGTGACTGATGTACACATTAACAAAGTTGACGTACCGGTACTGGGAAATCTGGGATTTTAAGAATACTAGGGTAAAATGTGTACCGGTATGCAAATATGCAAATATTGTAAGAAATATAGATTGGTTAGATTGTACTGTTTACAATACATGTTGACTATTGGAAAGGACATAACCTTGTAGTTTGTACAAATATAGGAATGAAAAAATATGGGGCCTATATTTCATCATAGTAATTTTAGTAATTCATTTTGTTTGAACTAAAGTGTTTCAGGTCTGGCAAGTTGGACATAACAGAATTGGTCATTTTGACCATGTGTACATCTTTATTTTGCGAAAATAAAACTTTAGTGAATACATCTGTGCTATTTTACATTTCTTACATTGCCTAAAAACTGAGAATTGTATGGTATTGGTCATATTTTCTATGATCTAATTACATACTTAAACCAAACCAAAACCTAAACCAAAACGAGGGTTTAACTAGAACTCTTTCAATGACTACAGGCCTGTGGATTTACTTTTGGACTATCTGTATATTAGAAGTGGAGAAACCATCTGTTAAGAGCAAGAAGGATGTTAAATTGATGTAAACGTTGATGAATTAATGCCCTTCTAGCACTCAACAGATGTAAATAGTGTTTATTGTTATTCTGCTTCAGCTGGACTGGGGTATCTTTTTGAAAAAATGAAAAAGTATCATATGTTTTATACTTGTAGAAAATGTTTCCCCCCCCCCCCCCCCCCAACTCTTCATTCTTAATCTACCCATGCCCATCCTTGTGCATGTCCATGTACTGTACCATGAAGCCAACAAATAATGTGAATATTTCTGTGTTTATAGGGCAATAAATGAGAGGCAAGTGCATATATAAGATATATGAACAGGTTTCCTGTTTGTCATGACCAGCCTCTTCAAGAATATTTTTTTGACTATTTATGTTCTCCGTGTGCTATCCTTCCCCACTTCTTGTACCTTTGACCTTTGACCTGTGCATATGTAACCCTGCCTCATTGAAAATCGCAAATCAAGTCTGCAGCATAAAACTAATACCGCCACACTATAGCGTAGTCGATATCCTTTTGTTATATTTAATTTTGTAACCAGAGCACATATTGCATCACTGATGTAGAACTAAATTTTTTTGTTTTGGTTTGAAAGCTTGGGATTTGAACAAAAAATACATCTCATTATACAGCTCAATATACCATAATAATTGAAGGGAATTGAAAGTTTTCTTTTAACAATGTATTAACTTTGTTAAACTCAATTAAATTCTCAATTATTAATTAATTTCTGTATGAAATAACTGTGTGATATTTATATTTGCTATAATTTGAAATGCTTTCTTACTATTCGCTGAAAATTCTCAAATCAATTGTAGATTTAATAAATTGAAAATTCCCACAAATTAGAAATATGTGCTATCCTATAATTTGCCAATTCATTTTCACATGTGCATCTTTCATTCTTTCAGATACGCTGTTCTAACATAAAGTTATACTTCGACTTTCATTGCAATATTTTTGACTTGCCATGGAATGTATTTCTGGACAGGGTGTTATCCTTTTTATTTTTGTACTCCTATTTACTTTCTTTTTGTTGTTGGCTGTGTGCTATTCCTGATTTCTTATGAATTTATTTTTTTGTGTCTCAAATAATTTGTGTATGTAAACAAAATATTTCAATAAATACCATTGTGTTCATGAGAATATGAATTCATTTGTCTGTCTTACTTTCTTTTATATGTGTGATGATGTATTCTCCTCTGAATTGTCTGAAAATTTAATATCACATCAATGCAAACTCATTAATAACAACTTTGTAAAAAGCAAGTAATTTATTTATTATTTAGTATTCTTCGCTATATTATCCTATAATATATACATCGGAGCAACTGCTTGATATTTGATATAAAAATTGACTTTCCTTCACAAGAGTGAAAATATACATCTTGTAGCAACCCATTATTACATTTCAAGTAGAAAAAAAAATGGTACTGGGCTAAGATATGAATAATATCCAGATGTACTGTAGAAGACACTGCACACATCACTTCAACACATCACTTAAAAAAAATCAGCAGGCAATTTGGAAAATATCCAGATTGTTTTTACAAGAGAAGACAACACTTTATACAACACCTACGTGGATCCTTGTCATTTGATTGGAGGATTGTTGATCACATGATATTCAATAGATGTTATATTGCACAGTCGTGCATTTTTGGTTATATGCAGACTGCGTACCTCTCTGTCGTGCGCATATCCCTGCGTGTATCTGACGCGAAGGCAATCTGAATGTAATCGAGAAGGCTTGACTCCAACTTTAATTTATCTTTAATGTAAGGAGTAAAGCATAATATGTTGATTAACGTTTTATTAGATCTTCTTTGATGTTGTATAAAACAAATAAAGAATGTTTTTCATTCGTTTAATAGTACAAATATTTTCATTCGTTGAAAGATTAACGATAATTCTTTTCAACTCGGCTGACGCCTCGTTGAATAGAATGTTAATATTTCAACTCATGAAAATATTCGCACTAATGAACTCATAACCATTCATTATTTGTATAATAATGCACTTCATACATTATCACTGCCTAACTAGTGAAACTTTCCAAGGCACTAGGAACATAAATTGGGTATTTCACCCACATGCCATGTGCTCTAGTATTCAATTAATTTCTTCTTACAAGATCCCTATTGACTTTACCTAGGTTAAGATAGGCAAATGTAGATGATCAAGATTTCATTTAAAGAATTGCCAGTCAATGGCTTTCAAGCTTTCTCCTTTATGCAACCTTACTTTTTTCTAAATAAAAAAAACCCACAGAGCCAATGGAGTAACTTTATAATAAAAAATAGCCCCTTTTGTATATCTCCAAGCAAACATCCTTGCTTTCATTCCTAGTACCTGAAATAACGATAATTATTAACAATAATAGTATTTGAAATTTTGAATTATAAAGTGATTCATGCAAAATATATATATATTTTAATATTGCCTGACTAGACTCCTGAGAAGAGACAATATCTACTCCCTGGGAAGCATTTCATCCACGTTGAGCAATCTACAATGTATTTACATATATTATGTATGAATTACTATGTGGTATATAAAATTTAGTTTTCTAGTTTCTGTTTTGCATCATATTTCATGAAAACAATATTTTCAAAGACCAGCTTTGATAGAATACATTAAATAGTAGCTAATAAATCATTTGTCTTATTGCAAATAAATTATGGATAATCATTAGGTAAGTTGCGTAGGATGAATATAACTGCATCTAAAGAAATATTATATATAGAGAGAGAGAGTAATGAAAATCTTACATTCACACTGAACAACCGCATACTCTGTGCTTATATTTACAACCCTCTTCCTATTCCGCTTTCACAACAGAATCACATTCATTTATAGATATGGAAGAAAAAAATTAGGGTCAAGATTTAACCTCTATGGGCTACATCTGTTATCTCTGTCATAGCATACTTTTGCTCCATCAGTTGTATGCTTTCCCCGTTGAATAATATTTGCGGTAAGAGCTGTACAGTATAGGTACTTTTACATATAATAATACTCAGTTTTTATATAGTGCTTATTAGAATCACTAAGCGCTTCCAAACTTGGAGATTATTACCCCGGCTTTAGCTGTGCTGCCATTGCGGCGCTCCAGCATTTCAAAGAATTAATTCCTACCAGGTACCCATTTACATCACCTGGGTTGAGTGTGGCAAATGTAGATCAATGTCTTGCCAAAGGATATTAGTACCGCGGCGGGGCTCGATCCGCGGATATGTACATATATTCAAATTTTGTATGTTTTTGTATGTTTTGTATGTTTCAAATACGAACTAATTTTTGATATGACAAGAATTTTACAGAAAGCATGATGATCAAAATTTCAGGTTAAAAAGAGCATCTCGTCTGCACACCTCAATAGAAATTATTGCAATGTCTTAACGTATCAAAATATAGGAATGAAATGTTTCTTTGGTGAGCAGCAAATCTTGATATACGGGCACAGGGTAACATAGTCACACATCTTAGTCATTATGAAAGTAGTGAAACAAAGGAACTTCAACAAAGTTTGTTTAAAATAAACTGAATTACTGATCATCATTTAAACTTCACATGGCAATGATATAAGTGGCGCAAGAAAAGCGTTTTGAAATTTGGTCTTTGATTATGAATATCTTTATATTTTTTTTGCCACGCAAGTGTATGTACCAGGTTCCAAACCACATTGGCTTATTAACTATTCCTCAACTAAAATATCCCATTGGTTCTTTGGTTGCTAACCCTCGAGCGTATACAATTTCATTTGAAATACATTTGAGTAATCAAGATTCAAATTGTGGCAGTCTCAAATCAAATTATACCATCATTCAAAAGTTAATTTCAGCTTCTTTGATAGTATCTCCCTGCACCACTATGAAAGTAGTTCAATGGCAGTTGGTGAATATCCACATGATTGACATGACTGTTTCTACAAAGTGTATATAAGTGGATCTTCATTTTGGTTTGAAAAAGCTATGTAGGCTACTGCTCCCTGGTCCACTTCCCTGAGCTTCTCCGCCCTGCTTGGTCTTCTTATTCTTGGTGGTTGACCCAGGTGGCCTTCCTCTCTTCTTCCCGACTTTGATCGTGGGTGCTGACTTGGGCTTATTCCCATTAGTTGTATTAGATTGACCTGGTCTTGGTCCTGTGTTTTTGGCCTCAGCTCTGTCCTGTTCCTGGAGTTCTAAGGCCACATGGAAGTCCAGGTGCTCAGGATAGTCCCAGACTGAAATGATTTGCTGGCATTTCTCGCAGAGAATCTCATCTTCACCTGGTACTCTAGACGGTCCGGCCTCAACCGGAGTAGAGTCCTTGTGCTGTCCTAATTTCTTTGCTATCTTTTGTTTTTCCTTCCCTGTTTCATCACTCACATGATGTCCACTTGTATGCTCTGATGCACATGAAGGCGACCCTCTTCCTTTTGAAGATGAGGCACGGGAATCCTCAAAGTCCTCGTCACTTGACATTTCAGGAAACAGATTGACATCTCCATCAACCTCCTCCTCTATGTGATCGAGGGCACCAGCTCCATTTTCAGTCACGTTTGTTTCTAGACGAGATGCGAGATGACCTACTGCTGCAGCAGTCGTGCTTGACTGACCTAATCTCAAGGTTTGGCTCTTTTTATCCTGAATCTCTCTGTCCTTCTTCTGTTGTAATCTGGCAAAGAACGACTGACTTTGACCCAATCCTGCCCTCTGAGGTTCAGCATTGCCACTCCCATCCTGAGCCATTCTTAAAAGGTCTTCTGTGGCGTTTGACTCTTGCCTCACATCTCCTTTGTCTCTCTCTACAGAAGCCACAGTGCTAGGATGTGATGCCACAGAGTGAGAAGCGGAACCCTTTGGATCAATCGTATCATCATAACTTTTCCTCTGGGAGAAAAACGTCCGGATACCCTGATCTTTGGGGCTTGATTTCCGTCTCTCTTGTGGCTCTCTTGAAGACCCAGCACCAGTCTGCTGGTCCACGGTCTCCTGCTTTGGTTCTTTGCTAGGCTGAGTGAGGAATCTATCAAGGGTTCTCCTTGACGTCTGGTCCTGTGCCATCTCTGGACCTAGTCCTTCTTGTTGGTCTTCCTTTAGAAGTGCTGTCGCTGGCTTGCTAGGCCCGGAGGATAAGAAGCTTTGGATGGAACCTAATTTGGAGCTTCCTCCTTCCACAAACTTAGAAGCTGATATACCAAGATATGTAATGGCAGGAGACCTGGGTTGGGAAAGAGAAGAAAGGAGAAAACCAAATAGTTTATAAAGGAAATGCATGTATTAGTTTCAGGCTTTAGTTTAATAAAAGCAAGTTGAACTGATTTTTCTTGTCAATTCTCTTTACCCTCTGCTGCTATTCCACCTATCAACGTTTTGGGTGAATGAAGCAATTTTCCAGAATGAAAGTATACATGGACATATTTATTACCATTGTCAATAACCTTGTCATGGAGAATTTGCCCTTGATATTTTTTATTTTAAATGGTACACCTGTGGTAACACCACTGGCAAGAACTGTGCCAACATCGGTCAGTCTTTACAAATGTTTATAAATGTTGTTATTATTATTATTATTACTTAAAACTATCATCAGTAACACCAACATCACACCACCTATCTGTGACTCACCAGGCAGCCTGATGATTGCCAGCATGATTAAGGTTCTGAATCACACTGAAGCAGTCTTTGGCTATCTTCTCACTGCTAATCTGATGGATAGCACAGGACCTGCTGGCTGTAGTCATCAGAGGTTTACCGGCCTGACCTACGGACACCGTCAGGTGCTTGGCTGTTCGGTTGTTCTGAAATGAGAAAAAGAATTACTGATTAGGCGTAACAAACAAGGTGTTGTATGGCCTTTGAAATCTACGGTCGGCTTTTAAAAAAAAATATTTAATAAAGCATTCAAAACTGAGAAATATCAGCCCAAAAAGGGAGGAAAGAGTAGAACAAAAGTATTCAAACAATTTTGTTTTGACCGACCAACCGACCCATGTTTTGGCACCTGAAGGGCAATAAAACATCTTTTTTTTTTTTAGGTCTTATGGAGATGTCATAGCTCAGCGGTTCAAACGATTAAACCAAGAGATTCTGGGTTCAAAACCCATGTTGCAGTACCTTGGTGCTCTCATTCCTGGCACATATGATGAGACAAGCTTTAAGTCATCTTGCTAATTATCCAAATATGAAACTATAAATTCCCTTTTCTTTGAACAAAAATCAATCAAAATAAACATCAATCATGTATAGGATTTTACAATGAAAGCATACATTAGCATATCAAATTTAGCTGGGCTGCACTTCACAGTATTCAAGAAATATCTTCCCAACCGGTGACCCTTCAATGCCTTTGGGTCAGAAGAAACTGTGTATAAAATACACTGTCGGTATCACATGGTGAGCCATTATAAACTGTAACTCTTCTACCTACCGTTTCTTCTTCTCTCAGTAATCTATGTTCAACTTCCTCTGCCAGAGACCGAAACCAATGTTTGACCTGAAAGAAAAACAGAGAAATAATTTATAAAATGTATTTGAATACACACATAACAAAAGTTAAACATCATACCATGACTAGCTACCACAGGGATACTAAAAACTTAAACTTGTTTTGGAAAGCATCGATAAATTCATACTACTAAATTTCAGTTATCAATATACGATTACACAATATTATTGTGAATTTAAATCCAAATCAATTTCACAATACCTTTTGTAATCATCAAATTAAAAATGCTACCAGCTACCAATAATAATTTTGTCTACGACATTCTTACATGTACGTACATCAGTGTCTGCAGCAACTTTACTGGATCTCATAATGTCCTTAAAACCTGTATACCAGTACACCTTATTGCTACAAAGTACAAAGTTCATGTACCGGTACTTCTAATTTCTAACAGATTGAATGTAGTTTGCCTATTACCTTGTCTCTTGTATCCAGTGCATTCTTGCCAGGAAAGGTCTTGCTGCATCCAGTAGACTTAGCTAGCTGACGAGGTCTCACAGGCTCATCATCTATTCCTCGACATATACTGTACAACCAGGTACTACAACACAAAATAAAATGCATAGTAAACAGAACAAAGGTTATTTTAATTTAGCCTGTGTAACAACGCCACTGTCTACATTCACTGTTTAAAGTACGCTGTAAAGCTAGATACTTTCAATGTTTATGACAGTCATTTTCACAGCAACTTTCATGAATTAGAAAAATTCCCTGTTGTATCAGTTATGGCTTAATAATTTTGTGGCATGAAACTATCGCAGATCTTGAACCATTCACAAAATTTGTAAAGGTTTCCTCTACGCAATACATTTAGTTCCTGATTTTTCAATAATAACTTTTGTGTTCTATGATCATTGTGTTTTTCAGGAAGGCTTAAAGCCAAACTTCTGTTTTCGCAATTGCCATGACAGAATACCGAAGTAAGGTGTTTTAATTCTTTCCATTTTTCTTGTGAAGTGTGTAGACATTTTCATTAATGTTTTTCCGCAATCAATAAAACAACAGGAACAGTTTGTAATGCATTTCATAGCTCAACGAACTAAGAATTTATGGGTATGATATCTTTGCATCTTGAGATAAAAATGATATGAACTTACCCTGTTTTTTCACTATATCTCTTCTGTAACTGTTTCTCAGTGTAGCGCAGTAGATCACCCATATATTCCACCCCTAGATCTTCAGATATAGAGTGACCAAGTTTCCCACCAAGATTACGACTAACGGAAAGAAGAAAGCAGTTATATCAATATTGAGTACTTTTATCAATCCAAACATCTGCTACAATTGTAATAATTCTACTACTCCTGTAGATACTATTGATTCTACAACGCATATAGGTGTATCTTATACTTCTGCTAGTACTTCTACTGCAGTTGCTGAGACTGATACCACAGTTCTTGCTATGTATCGTTGTGCTAATACAATTTTTCCCTACCACAATAACACTTCACATAAGTTTACAATACCAATATTTATATGAAGGGGTCACTGATGTGCTGTGGATTCTCCTCTCTGAAAGCTTTCTGCCCTCTAAAATGCTCACAGGCCATTTCACAAGTACCGTATTAGAAATTTCAAAAATAATCACGATGGAGAAAATGATATTTTCAACAGAACAGTGACTTTGCCGGTAATATGAGCCTTTGCATGCTGAGGACTGCTGGCTTTTCAACACAAAAGCATGAGGTGACAGATCATCATCTTCTAGTGGTAGCTTAAACTGATGTTATGGCAAAGATCTAAAAGAACATGTTTGGGTCTTTAAAAAAAACTGCAGTCTTCAGCAAACAAAAGCTTATCTAACAGGAAATTTTGCTGATTGTGTATTTTTCTATGAAGATTTTATTCTTCTTCTTCTGCCAGTAAAACCAATCACATGAACCTCTCTAGCATTTACTCACAACTTTCTGATAGGAATAGTCTTGTAGACCTTATCCAAACCTTCTGGCGGCAGGACTGATTGACGGTTGGGTTTGTGGAATCCACATGCGATTTTTGCTAGCATCTGAAAATATAGTTGAACAACAAGAAGATCACTGGTTTCAAAAATTTAGGCAACAATTTGTATACTGTACATTAGAAAGTTTCATGAACTTCAGCAGTAAGAATCTCTTGAAAATTGCAAGAATTTGGTGTTGTTATTCAATATGTAACTGGCTCCCTAGAAAATTCTGAGACAATTTAATGACTGTCAAATTTCCTGGTTTTACATTCAGGATAGAAAATATGGTTTTATTTTAGAAAGATTTTCAAATGTTAAATGTCTGAAAACTTTGATATCCTTCATTAAAAGCTAGCAAAACCCAACCTTGTTATGAGATATGCCAGCAGAACATCGGAATCCTGTATCTTTGAAAACCGCTGCCCTCATCTCCTCTGCAATCAAAGCTCCAACACCAAGTCTCTTTGTTGCTAGGTCTGATGATGTTAGCCAAGTCTCTAATCCTCTCTTCCGTACATCTGCAAATGATGGGATTAGGAAACAGATAACCCTGTAAGTTGGGGCTCTGATCGGATCGGAAGATCGACAAAAAAATCGGCTGATGTTTTAACATTTTTTTAATGACGAAAATTTCAAGTTTTGGGCTATCAAATGCTTTAAAAAATTCACAGCTGGGATTATTTTGTCATGTGGAGTTGTTGTAGACCATGTTTGTTGATACTTAGTGCCTTTTCATGACTTTGAAATTAATAATATTGGTCTAAGAGAAGAGGCAAAACATGTGGGCCGCCATCTTGGATTATAATGTAGGCATGCATTATAATCCAAGATGGCGGCCCGCAAAAAAAAAATTCTGCCGATTTTTTTCTGATCATTTTTATTGATCGGCGATCGGAAATTATTATCCGATCATTCCTGATCAGATCGGTATCGGCGTCTGATCCGATGATCGTTTACAGGGTTAAAAACAGAACACACACAAATTATAAAATAGTTGAAGGGCGATGATTTTCTAGCAATTATCGAAAGAAGGCTGTATCGTACTGTCTCAAGTACATCAAAGATACCAGTACCATTGTGATTAACATCAAAATGATGTCATCTACAGATATATATACCAAAAATGTTTCATGGGCTTTGTCCAACATGCCAGAGAGCACAATTCAGATGAAAAGGCAACATTTTGCATGCCATTTTTTGAACTACTGAAAGTGCACACATGAAGTTTGAAAAAGAAATCACCTTCTATATCAACGCCCTCTTCGGCAACATCATGACCAGCGATGAACGTCTGATGCAGCTGCTCGGGATCCAGGACCTGGCCTTGGTCCTCCATCTGGGCCAACCTGGTCTGGACCTGGTCCGTGACATCCACATAGGCCTCGTCTACGCTGGCCCTTTCCACACTATCGCTGTACTTACATAGCACTGTGATCACCTCTGCTCCTGCTTCTCTGTATCTACAGAGTGAAGAAAATAAGGTGATAAATCATAGAATATATTACAAAGGGGACTGTAAACATTTTAAGGAACTGTACAGCTTGTATAAATGTCTGTTTTTTTTAAGTCCGCACTCTCTAATCTACAAAAGTAATTCATGAATATTTACATGTTTACACATGTGGTCCTTTAGTATTGTATCTTTGATCTTTTAACTCGGGCCCATTTTTATTTTCATTTCATTTATGTACAGGTAATTTGACAGGTATAGTCAGTCTGAATGGAAATTTTTTCATTTGGTTTCATTTGGAAAAGATGGGCTAAATACATTTCCTCTCCTTGATCCTTTGGGCAATATTCGGTCTGATACGCCACACAGACTAGCAGTATATTCTATTTAAGAAGTTTTCATGTGGAAAAGACATGTTTGAAATAATATATGTTGTTGTCTGTCAAAGTGCTAAATACATTTCATCTCATTGTTCCTTTGGGCAATAATCGGACTGATATGCCACACAGACTAGCAGTATACTCTAACAGGGAGTCAGACAGTATCTTGAAAGTCCTTGTCATTTGAAAATGGCATCCAAAATAAGTTATGATATTCTCCAAAAGTGCCAATCATGTCTGCGAATATCTTTACTTGTGTGACAAGTCTGTTTAGTGTGTTTAGTGTTTAAGACTTGTGTGTGTGTGTGTTCAAAAAGACTTACCTTGTAAGGTCAGCCTTTCCTCTGTTCTCAGGCACCGTGACAAGTTGAATGGCGGGGCATTTCCCTCTAGCTTCAGCACCTCGCATCTGACGGGTCACACCAAACGCCCTGGCTTCGTAACTTACTGCAATTATGCTAATACAGGAAAAATTTGTTTAAAAATTCAAACTTACTAAAAAGAAGAAAAAAAAATAAAGAGATCAGTTGTAGAGTCTAGTTTCACTATGGCTTGTAAGAAAGATGCCATTTTACATTCAGCTACATACCCCAATGCATGTGCAGCGTTTTAATCAAGAACGAACAGCATCCATTCCACTGCTCAGCAGGCTTTAAAATTAAAAATTTGGCTAATATTACAGTGTTTTTTTTTAATTGATTAATTTATCCTACATTCCTAGCCCGAAGCTCTGTATGTTTCTGCGCAAAAAGATTATAATCATCAGCATCACTTCCCTTTTAAAATTGTGTGAAATACATTCGTGTATATAATCAATGAAACTCTTATAATTGAACAATGATTGCTCTGAAAATACATTCATTATTTATAAGACGTGTGCACGAAAACAAAACATCTCAAAATATTTCGGCAAAAAGCTTTGCATCCCAAATCCTGGAAGGTGCTTTTATCTGTGTTTCTTTCTTATTGATAATTGTCTGATTCGGGTTCACAAGGAGTATGTCTCTTTTGCTTTCACTTATCCACTCACCTATACCCCCCCCCCCCCCTCCTCAAAATGATGGTACATGCAAGTAAATTATGGCAAATGGTATTATTACGGTAGGTCCTACGTCGATCCCAGTATATGGGACTGCATACACAGATTTCTTCAATTAAAATTCATAATAAAAAAGCGTCTTACGCTCCACCCTTCCATGAATTGTACTGGACAACAGCAGCAGGCTTTCCTTTTAGGGTTGGATTGCGTCTTTGTTCTACTTGAACGTAGAAACAATCCATATCAATCAAAATAACGACTCTGTCCATTGTTCTTGGCGAACTGAATTACCCGCGCCAGACACGAATTACGCAATTTCACCGGAAACGATAGCAGGTCAACGCACTGTTACAAAAGTAAATAAACTTTTCTTTTCTTTTTCATATGATAATAATATGAAACACGAATTATATTTTCAGTCAATTGTTACCCTCACCAAGGTGCTTAGACATTTTTTAAATAGTTGAGTCATTTACAGCAATGTAAACCAGTTATGATAAGAATCAGTAAGCTTTAAAATCAATTTAAGAAAAATCAAAGTTATTAAAACTAATTAGCAAGGAATGTGTTTGACTATATCAAGAAAATATTTGATTAGGCTTTTGGGGGGTATCTCAATAGGTTGGCTGGTCGATATGTCAAGATCTGAACTAAAAAATGTAGAATGCTAGATATATCCATGAACATGCATGTATCTAAAAAATACACAAATCATGGTATTTACGGACCCCAAAGAAGATCAGCAATGCTCTATAAACATTGCTGAATTGGGCTTTCCTCTGATTGTTATCTATGTACATGTATTAATATTTCATTTTGTATATTTTTCTTTGTATAATATTTTTTATCTGATTTCAGAAAAAACAAAATATAGAATATGACATTTTATCAGAATTTTATGAAATTTTATCATGTTCAACTTGAAAAAATATATATGCAACATGAGCCAACTTTAATTTATATCAATCATCATCATCATCATCAAGTGCATGCTAGGTCTGCTTCAGACATCGGCAGTCCACTTCTTTGAATTATCTGCTCGTATTAAAAAGCTGGAATTGCTAATTTCAATTTTGATTGCCCATTTGTTCAGGCTTTGTAGGTATGTGAAGCTTTGCCTTCCCATGCTTCTCTTTCCAGCAATCTTCCCTGTTAATATATTTTTTTTCTTCTTCACATTATCCTTTCTGTATATGTTACCAAAACATTACAGTGCCTCTTTATAATTGTGTTGATGAGTGATGATTTTACTCTTTATTTTCTGAACACTTGTTTCATTTGTTAACTTTTTCTGTCCATGAAATATTCTATCTATCATTGTTCAATTTTATTATAGCCTCTTCTTATGAAATATAGATTTATTGTCCTTCTTTCTGTATTTTATATATTGATGAAAATTAATTTTCATTTTTTAATGATATTGTAACTATTTTGGTCGGGTACAATTAAATAGGTGAGACACTTCAACAGAAACAGTTACTAGTTTTACTTGTTTGGTGTCGGCTTATCTAATAAAACTTACAACTTTAAAATTCAAACTTTGATACATTCTCATAATTTCCTTCAAAGGATCATTTTCAAAAGGTGCCAAATGAGGAATTGTTGGAGAAAAGAGAATTTTCAAAATCTGTTTCTTCTTCATCTTTTCCTATCATGTTTGATATTATTCTTCTTCTTCTTTCTCTTCATTTTTGTTGCTCTTCGAGTCCTTCTCCTCCTCCTCCTCCTCTTCTTCTTCATCATCTTCTGCACTGTGGTTAATTTTCCTTGGGTTTTTTTTAAATCTTAAACTTCTCAATCATGTGTTTGTTTGAAAAATGGGCAGAGCTTTGACAGGGAAGAAAAAACCCACTATGTACTTTTAACACAAAACATTAAAATTGAAAAATATACAACAAATTTGCAATTATGTGCCTTTGAGTCCCCCCCCCCCCCCCCCTGGCCAAAATTTTAAATTTTGTTTGTCTTGACTTAGATTTTGGAAAGATGGTGGACTGTCCTTTTTGAGAAAGAGAAGAGGTACTATACTTAAGAGAAAATGGTTTTTAAAAAAGACAAGAGAATCCTCTGGTGATATCCCTGAAAGGGTTTTAAATGTATTTGGAAGAAATATTAATCAAAATATATTTTTAGAAAACACTGACTGGTGTATTTTATTTTAAAAAAGTGAGAATTTATAGCAAAAATAAAAGTGACAAATATAAAAATTAAAAAGGGAAATACATGGTGGAGGTGCGATAGCTCAGTGGTAGAGCAGTGGTCTTGTAACCAGGAGGTCCTGGGTAAGAAAGCAAGTCGTTGCTCATGTGCCCTTTGGTATTAAAGGCATCAGTCCTCATTATCAAGTCCTTCGGAGAGGACTTAAAGCCGTCAGTCCCCTGGTTATATACTCACAAGCATATACATGCTTTCTTAACAGCCAGGTAGAATAATAATCATCAAACAAACAAACAAGGAAAATACATGTATACTCAGTATGAAGACGATAAACATACATGCAGGCATGCATAATTCAAATCTGAATATTTTCAGAGGGATCAGGTAACCCCTTCCTGTGATTGGCAGGCCTGTATTATACTTTAAGATAGCTATCCTTAGTGGGGTAGCCAGGGTTTTTTCAGTGGGGAAGGGGCACTGGGGGTCACCACTTTTGGTGGGGGGATGCATTAAGTCATACGCTTACATCGACTCCTCTATGAGGGAGCATATTGATCGAGAGAAAAAAAGAAGCATTTTAACATATTAAAACATTTTGGTGCATGACAGAGCTTATGCAGAACTACAACAAATAATTCTCTTTTCCTTTTTTTTCTTGTAATTTTGCATTATTATTTTTTTTCCATTGGGGGACCTGAGGGCACTAGAAATTAATTGGGCATGCGCAAGTTCCCCCCTATAGGCTACACCAGTGGCTATTCAGCATCTATAAACAGAGCAAATTTATTTCATTTTCCACATGATATAAAAAATGACAAGACGATATATTTATCTTTGACATTGTTTTTTGTTAGTCTTCTAATGCAAAATTAGAACTTAGAACTACAAAACTTATTTCATGTAACTTACCAAACTAAAACAAAATATATTTTACCACTACTGTAACTGTCTATGACTATGATTATTTATTTTTGTAATTTGACTAGTAATATCTGTTACCAGGGAGTGAAAGACAAACTTCTGAATGGATAATAAATTTCAATTTATTATAATAAAGCCCCCATTTTAACTTGCCTACCAATATTGATCTTCTTCTTCTCAGCCTTTAATAATGAAACTTATGGTTGTGATGAAAAGAGGAACTTGTGCATTATATCGTGATTAAATTTATAATCTGTAATGCCACCCCACCCACCCCCCCCCCCCCCCCCCCCCCCCCCCCCCCCCCCCCTCCTCCTCATCCATAATTATTCTCCCACACAACTCGAATGGTCGAACTCATGACGTCATGATGAGTCAATTTGAAAATACACGGTTCGCCATTGCATTGCATTTGTACAGCAACTGAATGCAGCGCATCCCATCAAATCACATGCAGTTAATTGTACGCGTGGGACTTATCATTAATGTTGTGTACAACAACTGGACGGACGAACAACACTTCAAATATGGATCATAACGGCCTTCCTGGTCAGGTAATAAACAACAATAATGCTAAGAACCTACTTAAGATAATTTCACTTCTTAAATTTTGTCGGTTTGTAGATGTTGTATTTGCTGTTGTGGTGGATTAGGATACGTTTCTTTCGATTTTATCTTTACTTTCGAAATGAGTTGTGTGTGTGCGAGTCGACTTGACATGTAACTCAAGATTTGGGATCACATCCCCGAAGTGGTGGCTGCGCTGGGCGCTGGTACGATGAGAGCGGCCGGTGGCTTTTTGCCTACCGGTTTGCCCGATTGTGCTGTGGTGTGTTCTGAAGATGTGTGTCGTAGCCTGCTACTGCACAATCATGACTTTTGTTGTTCTTGATCCATATATTTTGTAGCTCACCATGTTGTATTTCCTGTAATGAAGTCTTGTCAAGTGTATGATTGAGCTTGTGCGGCGGCTGTGGCCGTGCTAAATCAAAGTTGGATCATCAGATGAGGATTTTAATTTTTTCCTCACAGTTACATGACGGACACTTATCAGTTATCTTCCTTTTCTTTTCAAAATTAACCTGTTACATTCGAAGTTGCATTTAAGAGGTTGCAAACTTGCAAGGAAGCTTTGTTTTATGATGTACTACTAATACTAATTATGGAAGTATGGTGTAGATAGATTACCGGTATGTTGTATTTTTGAAAGATTACCGGTAGATAAATTAAATTTAATTTGATGTGATACTGATAGAGATGACAATTTAATTTTAGAATAATCTGGTCTAGATCTAGATACCGGGGTACATGTGACATGTGTACTCTACATGTTGTACATGTAGCTTTTGTTTAGGTAATTGTACAATTTCTGCCCAGACCCTGAGATTAGTAAAAACTTCCAGAAACATCCTAAAAAAGAACAAAATGATATGACTAAAATGATTAAAATGATTTAAAATACCATGATGCAGAATAAGTAGTCAAGGTCAGCTAGCATTGAAGCATATTTGGTCAAAGTTTTAGTGTTTTTTCAGGACAATTGATCCTATTTCTAACCGGGCTGTGTGTACGTACAGTACATACATATTACATTGTACATGTACACATGAATGTACACACAGTTAGTGAAAGAAAATTTTAAGTAACAAATGTTGTCTGTTTGTTCAAACTATTCATGAACTTCTGTTAATAATATTGTCTAACTTCAGGTGCTTAGGCATTCAATTGTACATTTAAGAAATGTATTCTGTATGTTACCATCTGTTTAGGAAAAATAAATCTCTGCTTAAAGGAGCAAATCATCATTGAAAACTTACAAAATATTCTTTTAATTTTTTTTTAACTGGTTTATTAAATTATATATATAAATGATTAATATGTGTATCCCTCTGAAGGAATCTTTATCAAACAAAACTTGTTTACCCAAAATGACCAAAACCAAATTGTTTATAAGAAACATGAATATATATTCATTAGAAAGAAAAGAAAGGGGGAATGTAGAAAATGGGAGGAGCTTTTACCAGCATTATTTAAAACAATACAGCCCTGGTAAAAAAAAAAGTATTTTAAAAAGGGGGACTATACCTGGTAAGCTTTTTTGTTTTCAAAAAAAAAAAAGTTATTTTTGTGAATTCATTAGAGTCTAGAGCAATTTTACCATGTACCCATATGTGAGGAAAAAAAATTGTATCTGACTGGCCTGTGAATTGTGATTGTGACCACAAGGTTACATGTATGTACATGTACACATGGATGTACAAGAAACAGCATTGACAAACCCTTGTTTGACGGTCTCTACAAAATGTTGATCACTTGACCAGTGCATGAAATACATGGAAAATATAGCAAATTTGATAAAATGTAAATCAGGATCATTGAAAAATGTCACATTGATTGTATATTTGCCCAGCTGGAAATGAAAATATGCCTGAATTGCTCATGGTCATCTCCTACTTGCTCCGCTCTAGTACGCTGTCCATTATGGCTATTTGCATTGAACCGATGCATAAATATAAGGTTTCCCAGCTCCCTGGTCCTGCAGACTGTACCCTGGTGAATCCTATGATGTAAGGAACTGTCTCGGTGAATGTCAACATTGGAAGCGCTTTGGCTAAGAGCAGGTTTTATTGATTGCTCAGAAACTTGAGATGAAGACCAATTAGAGCAAGTACATGTCCTTATCATAATGGTTTTTGGATGACCTGGATGCTTTTTTTTTTAGATTGAATGGAGAACACAAATTATCTATAAATTACATGACACCACACAAACATTTATACATGTACATGTATGTATCTATCTACTGGATCATGTTGATTAGTTGTGTAGCGTACCATTATATCATTTCTATGAAAGGGTTCTTTTGAAAAGAGGAAGTTGAAGAACTTGAAGGATGATTATTAGTATTACATGTACATGTACTGTATTCAGTATCATTCATGACATGATATTTTATGATCATCAGTATTCATTTATCACTTCCTCATACATTATTTATCACTTTTTACTAGAATAACTGCATGTACCATTAAAGCTCATGCTGTCAAGAATGCATGTCTTGAAATATGTGTATTTGCAAACTTTTCTATGTACTATATATTGGTTTAGAAGTAGGCCTCCATAGGTTGTGCTTCCTGTAGGAATGTAGGATACACCTACATGTACATGAGAGGTCCTAAATGTTATGACTTTTGAGGGAAAAAAGAATAATTGAAGAATTATAAATGGGAAACTGGAAAAAGTATGTGAAATTAAATATAGACCTATGGCTACAGAAAGCTCATATCTCCCTAGGCCTAGTACATGTAATGTGTATGTCTGTACATGTGGGTGGGCCACTCTGACTGGCCTTGGAAAGTTGTTGACTTTTTACTAGAATAACTGCATGTACCATTAAAGCTCATGCTGTCAAGAATGCATGTCTTGAAATATGTGTATTTGCAAACTTTTCTATGTACTATATATTGGTTTAGAAGTAGGCCTCCATAGGTTGTGCTTCCTGTAGGAATGTAGGATACACCTACATGTACATGAGAGGTCCTAAATGTTATGACTTTTGAGGGAAAAAAGAATAATTGAAGAATTATAAATGGGAAACTGGAAAAAGTATGTGAAATTAAATATAGACCTATGGCTACAGAAAGCTCATATCTCCCTAGGCCTAGTACATGTAATGTGTATGTCTGTACATGTGGGTGGGCCACTCTGACTGGCCTTGGAAAGTTGTTGATTTTTGTACCAAGTCAGTGTGAATCATGGCCATGTAGCAAATCAGGCATGTAAATCTATTGTGTCCACCTGATGAACTGCAGTTCTTAAAACCATCTTTTGAATGGTTTTATGAGATTTACTCACCAAACCATGCAGCCAAATTGACAGCTTTTGAGTGGGAGAGGGGGGGGGGGGGGGGGGGGGCTACAAGAGCAATGATATTCTTTTTTTACTTTAAACACATACAGTGTAGTGTTTCTTGTTTTTGATTTGTGCATGGACACAGATCTTGATACAGTTGTACTTGAAAGCAGACACAGATGCAGGTATTGAAAGCTCTCAAACAGAGACAAATTAAAAAGAAATATGGTAAAAATAAATCTCACTTTGAAATGGAGATGTTGTGAACTAAAAGGTAAAAGATTTGTGCGGTGATGTAAATGTAATCCATTATTCTACAGGTACTTGTACATGTAGTTGATGTATATTGTGATTTTCAAATTTACTGGAATTATAATGTGAATTGCATTTTAGATTTTCAAGTACCACCAGTACATTATGATGGAATATGAATGTGAATAAATAACCTACATACATAAACAGCATGGTATTAAAATTGTGTAATCCATCAAATTTGTAATAAAAAGCCTTGAAATGGAAAAGAGAGACATGCACTGGACATGTACACATAGCTTTTTTAATTCTATTCATGGGAACAAGAATTTTATCAGTTGTGTAGGGTCTACCAAATGGTGCCTCATACATGAGTAACCAATTACTTCAAGGATTTAAACTTGGGATAGTGTTCTGAAAATTATTTAATCTTGATTCTAGTCAAATTGATTTAATTGTCCTTATAAACATCAAGTTATGGTGTGTCATTATTTAATGATGAGGCATTCATGTACGTTTTTTTTTTTACAATTTTAGGCGATTGCATACAAATACCAACAAAAGATGCAATTCAAAATATCTTCAGAAAAAAATTGAATCATTTCTTTACAATCCAGATGAAATCATTCACAGAATACCTCCTGTCCCCTAAAGTTAATCTTATTTTGACAAATTAAATCTTGGGCAACAGTATGTGTATTTTTGCTTTTGTCTAGTGAAAAAGCAGTTATATGTTTTGACTCCATACTTGGTAACAAAAGTTCAAATGTTTCTTCCTCATTCCTAGCAGTATTTACTGTACATGTAGCTCTGTCTTATCATGAAAAATATATCTTAAATGTCAAGCAATTTTGTCAAATGTCAGCCACCTCTGTGGAAATTCTAGATATGAGAATCCTTTAGATCAACACAAGGAATTCTCTGAGACATACATGTACCAGGAGATAATACTACTGAGAGCCATGATTTATCTTGAGGCGCCTTGTAGTTGTTGAATGTATGCACTATCGTTAGAATCATTTGTTCCGTCTGTTGACGAGTGAGAGGATAAGTAAGCAAAGTAAAATGGAAAACAATTTTGTTTTTGTTTTGTTTGCGTGTGTGGGTGTGTGCCTGAAATTTGTTTACTTATTTCTGTTTCTGTATAATCATTTTATATAATTCACACATTCAAGTGGGATACGATTTGTTGAATTATAATTATGTTGAATGGAATCAAAAAAAGATCACAGAAAAAAAAGGTGTGCGTCCGCACAATAAAGCCATTAAAATGTTAAATATACTTGTACAGTGAAAGGCGCTATCAAGCAATCCAAATGAAATCTGAAATATATGAATACACAAACAAACATATGTACTGGTACATTTTACAAGTGTGCATGTATTGTGGCATAAACATGCATCATTATTTACATGTATTGTAAGTGGGATATGATCTCTTTATCACCCACTATGAATACCGGTAGATGATGAATGCCTGCCTACCGGTATCCCAATGGACACGTTCACTTTATACATGTACATGTACGATATAAATGTACAAAGGTACATGTATGGGCTTTGTACATTTACATTGTAATTAGCACTCGTTCGTTCGTTCGTGTCTCCTTAGATCAAGATAGTTATGTAAAGTTCCTTAATTAAAATTAAATGAAATTAAATCAAGTTCTTCCATCGCTCGATTGCTGCAATGGCCGTTTCATTAACAAGAGCCTTTAATTAGTCATTTTGATTTAGAGCTTACCATTGCAAACCAAATGTGCAGCCCATGTACATGTACATCTTTAACAATGCCCACTCTGACTTATAAATGTGCAGTAGCATTCAAAATGGAGTTGTAAATGTAATTTAACCCTGAAAAATATCTGTGTCAATAAAGTTTAGCTGTGCAGAATGCAAACTTTTCAATTTATTGCTTTTGAGATGAAAGGGTGCCTCTCTTGAGACTCTTAACCTCACAGAGAAACCTCTGTGTGCTACAGTGACTCATTCTTACTTGTGTATACATGTACATGTAGACCCACATGTACTTTTCCCTGTAATGCTCAACCTGGCCTTATTTATTATTTCCTCTCTTTTTATTTCTCTCTGCGGCCGGGTGTAGATGATCTTGAGAGTTTATCTTAGCAACAGTCCAGACACATTGTCAGATGTGCCCATTACCCCGGAGACAAGATGCCGTGATGTGGTAGAGTTATGCAGAGAGACGGGAGAGGTCCAGTGTCATCTGGCCGAGCTCTGGAGAGGATGTGGTAAGTCTGAGTTTTCACATGGTTGTGGAATCCTTCAATTTTCTTATTTAAGATTCAACTTATGGAGTATGTGCATATGTACGGTATGCTTAGAGCCAGGGGTTGTTAAGTGTTGACTAAATAGAATAGAGCAATGTGGTTTCCATGTTTCATCTACCATATAGCTGGAGGCCTTCCAAAAGCATAACAAGAGATGATTCAATGAATGTAGTCAGACAGGTTCATGGCCATTTCTGAAGTAAAGCGTGAATATTTCTCAATGGTCCCTAGTAATGGTGGCTGACACGTCCATGTTCAGCTCTCCAAATCTGTGTAAAGTAAACACCCTTCATACAGTGTGTTTCAAACATGATTACAAGTGCAATTTGTCACCTGTCATAAGGCTGCTCGAAGTATGCAAGATGGTGAAACAACATATTTAAATGATTTAAGTGAAGTAAAGAATTTGGAAAAATGGCATTTATATATGTTAGCATAGACATAAAAGGGCATTGACTCGTGTCATATAATGTGGAATGCCCTTCTGGCTCTCAGCAGGTTACCCATGTCAGGTTTATTTAGATGGAGACATGTACATTTAAATGAATCAAAAGACCAACAGTGAGAGAGATAGAGGGAGAAAAGGGAAGGGGACGCCTGTCAACTTTGCAGCAGAACATATGGGTTAAACTTTCAGTTCATGTTGCTGAACTTTAACCTCAATCTTTGATACTCCTAGAGTTAGATGTGAAATAACAAGACCAGACTACGAGGGAAAAAGATTTGTCGACTCTGTGTCGGAACCTAGGGGTGAAACTGTCGATTCTAATGCATGAACCTCAACCAAAGATAATATATACACAATAGAAATAAAACAACAAAATCTCTCGACCAAGCAACCAAGGTACATGTACTTCTGGATTTAAAAAAAAAGACTTGAAAGAGAGAGGGAGAAAGAGAGAGAGAGAAGGAATGAGAGATACTTTTCAACTCTGTCAGAACATGGAGATGAAACTGTCAGTTCATACACAGGTGAACTTCAACCTCAACCTACGATAGTGTATTGATCTAGGCAGGATACGAAATAACAAGACCCGACCTGGTAGAAACTTGAAAGACACTCATCAGTCGTTGACGACACATAAAGGTTGAAGCTATCAGTTCATACAGGTGAACTTCAACCTCAAACATCTGCCATAAAGAAATCAGGGTACTATGGAATGCACGGAAGCGACAAGCATTGTATGGGTAGATGTCTTTATAATGCGATCCAATTTATACTGGCATGTTGATGATTCCAGCAGACAATCGCAGTCTCTGCTTCTGTTTATGAACAGTGTCAGTGGTATCATCGAGCAGGAATAGTCTTGATTTTTTTTCTCTCAGAAAGGTAACTTTTACTTGCAATTACTGTATAACCAGACACTTTTAGAAATGAATGTTTCATACTGTAGATTGTGAACAAGAGCCATTTCACAGAAAGAAACTTGTGCAAATTGCAAACATTTCTGTTGTAATTTTTGTTATGGCAAGTATTGCATCTATTGAAATATAGATTTCTACATGTGCAATATAAAACTTTGTGGAGGAATATTTAATCTAGAAGAAGTAGTACTTGATTGTGCTCTCTCCTTTTCAAACCACTTATAACTACCCAAATTTCATTTGTTAGACTTTGTTTTTATTTATTAGCCTTGTGCTAATAGCAAACAATGCAAGAAAGTCTGCTACACGTACTGATGTCATTAGCATCAATTATAATTCTCTCTTTCCATCCTATTCCCTCTTCCCCTTTTAAGAGCGTCCTATTGACGACGAAGAGAAGATCTATGACATCCTCCAGCAGTGGGGCATTCATCGCAATGAGGTCAAGTTTTTCCTGAGGCATGAAGGAGCAAACTCGGATGAACAAGGTATGAATTATTATGATTATTTGCATGTTGTATTATTAGTTCTGGGCCCTCGTTTCATGAAACATTTTATCATTAACAAGTGTCGAATTCGCTTACAACCAATCTAATGCTATGATTTTAGTAGCTTATAATGGGTATTGTTGACTTGTTAATAATGTCAAGTTTTATGAAACAGGGGCCCTGAATTTGTTTTGGGGATGTAGTAGAGAATAATTAAATGTAATGTAATGGAAATTGTTATTGTATACATGTAATTGTGTTAAGTGGGGGCATGCTACAAGAGCCCTATCTCGCACCCCGGGGCAACGTGTCTGACACGGCTGGTTGCAGCAACTACTACGAAGATCAAGATAGTAATCTTGATCTAAGGAGACACGAACGAACGAGTAGAAAATAGAAGAATGAGATTTAAGAAGCAAATACATATATTTGTAGGAAGACATCCTCGCATATATTGTAAACAGAGATAAGGCCCATTCATTGGTTATCTTGAATGTCTGTAGAGGAACACAATTGTTTTTCCAAGGAAATGATAGTTTTCTCAACTGGAATTGAATTTTCCTATCAAATGTTCTTTATTTATTAAATACAATATATAATCCCATGGAGATGACGTAAATACTGGTACCAAAAATACATGTATGCTTTACCTCCATGGTGTGTATGTACATGTACGTAGAATCACAGATCAATTTTTAAATGACGTCCTTGACTCGTAGACAAGTATAAACTCTTTGAAAAAGATGATAGACCAATAAACCCTTTGAAGTCATTCAGATTACGAATCATTGAATTAAAAAAAGATCAAAAGAGAGGTCACTGGTCACTTTAGTGGTATAATTTGTTGTTTTCACTTAAGGAGGGGTACCGGTAGATAAACACAACTTTGCATGTACAGGCTTTTGCTATACTATTCAAGCTTTAAATAAGAATTGCGATCTCTACATGCAGTTGACAGCATGTTTTTATAGAGGGGAGGGGGGAGGGAGGCAAGGGGTGTGGCTTGTATTGTGTCTTGTATGATATAGGAGTGGCCTGTGCAGTATCACAAAAAGAAGAATAATTCTAAGGCACATACACGTGACAACGATTATCATTAATTATAATTTATTTACTGCACGAGCTTGACTTTACGATGCCCAGAGGATATGGATTCTTTCCATTGTTATCGCGTTCAGAATATCTTGTCTGAATCTCTTGATGGATATTTTGTCCTCAAACCATTGACTTTCTGAACTCATTTTATTGTGCGCAGACCATCATAATTATGGTCCAGTCGTCTGCTTTCTGAAAGAGATAGTGTATGGATACTATAGCTGGCATTCATGTTTTTTTGCCTCAGAACTGTTGCCTTTATTTTGAAAGGTTAAACAGATAGTATTTATTACCCATCTTGAATGCTTTGACGCAATTTTTTTTGGCTAGAACCATTGACTTTCTGAGCTCGTTGCATTCTGGACCATCATAATTATGGTGCAGTTGCTTTATTCATGGTTGCTGTATGAATAGCATTTTTAAGGATATAGGAGCCACTGAAGCATTTTTGGCCCCTGAACCATAGACTCTCTGAACTTGCTTCATTTAGGACTATCGCAAAGCTCCAGAACCATTGACTATCTGAACTTGATTGATATAGGACCGTCACAATTATCAAGTCGTCTTCATTCTGACGGGGATACTCTTTGAATGGATATTATTTGTTTCCCATCTTGGATCCTTTTTGATGCATTTGTTTGAACCAGAACCATTGATTTTCTGAACTGGATTTACTTTAATAGGACTATCACCTTTCTGGCAGGGAAGTTTTTTGGATAGCTAGAATTTGTTGCCTGGTTCATTTCTGTCAATTTGTACTTGAACACAGTTTTTCAGTCTCACCAGTGCTTTTCATCAGGCAATTAGTGAACAAGCTATTATTTAATGCTCTATAAATTACCAGACTGGATTGGATTAGATTCAATATTTGGCTCTTCATTAAGATAGTTTCCAGGAATCAGCGGTACTGAATTCAAAGTAAGTTTGTGATTTTAGTTCATATTGGTATGCTGAATTGCATGTTTATTCCCCCCCCCCCCCCCCAATGCCTTATTCTTGTGTATTTGTTACGGATATGTACACATTTTCAAGTTACATTGGAAAGAAGGTAACAAGGTTTAATTAATGACCAATTATTGGAAAAGTTATTACCACAGGAGGGAGGGAGAGGGGGAGGGGAGAGTTATAATGCGACCATTTTACACCCATTCTTGTATAAAGAGTGTATAGGGTATAATCTCCTTTACATGGAATCTCAATTTAACATCCTCTCTGAGGGACAGCATATTTACGAACTGAATTCACACCTGTATGGAAAGCCTTGCTGAGGCATGCTATTAAACACACAACACTAACATCAGTTTTTGTATGATAGCGTGTGCAGGAATCAAATCAAGTGTGGGATTATGTACATGTATGTAACAATCCTTTCCATCACAGATGCTTGGATCCACACCCTTCTCTCTTTCATGTACATGTTTGTTTTCATGATAGACATTTTAAATGTATATATTCATAAATGATAATTAACTTCATATCAATGGTTTTGAAGAAAAAATTAAAATCAGGCAGACAGTAACCTTCCCATGATAAGCAATCTTTTTTATCCAGTCACTCTGTCCTCCAGACGACCTGCGTTGGTTGTTGATTGAACTCTTTACAGACAGGTCACAGATCTATTTACAGCAAACATCGCACTTTGTGTTCAGGACTACTTTTATAGAGCTCTATCTATGATAGAGAATTGAAGATACATTTTTTGTATCTCTTTACTTGTTTAAAAGCGATTGTGCCTCCTAAGCACATCCTAAGGGCTGAGATGTCAACATTTTATAGTTTTGTATTTGGTCAATTCCAAAATGCTGTTTGTTATGCTGTTCCATTTTGAGAATAAGCAAGTTTGATTAATGATGTTTTGATCACGGGCAGGTATCCTTTAAAGTTAAGGGTTGGTTGATCAAGCGTAGGAACTATTGACGTCCTTTTCCCCTTCTCATAATCATTGCCCAAAAGGGATTTTTTTTTTTTCTTCTTCAAAATATGAAATGCCAGATATGCTGATAATTGAGAGAATCCATGACCTGTGCGATGTGAATGGTTTTACCTTCAGAAGTTCATACAAATTTGTCTATTGTTTGAAGTTTGTTTTCATCTAAATGTATACTTGTACGTACAAAATGAACTTTGAAGAGCGATGTTCATACAGCAACAGAGCTGATTTGAGATGAAATTACATTGGTCCTCAATTACTCATGATATTCACTTGCCATTTTCTGAGCTGTCCACTGTTAAAGAGAAGGTTGAGTTCTGGGAAGAGGTGAACAATAATTTGTGAACGTAATAATTCTTATTATGCAAGTGTGGAAGATCATCAGATAAAACATGTTCCCTGAAAAGCATGGCTCTTCAAATGCCTTTACATTCTAAATATGTTAGTAACATCGTAAAACTCGGGGGGGGGGGGGGTAGGATTTTTACGCCACATGTTCGTGTAGTCCCATATACATCTTTCTGTGTACAGTGTATGTAACTTTACCAAGACTTGGCCAAATTTCTTATCATTTTGATGATTCTAGAACCTTGCAATACACACAATTTCTTATATAGATGATCAACCTTTTCTGGTCGATTCCACACCGTTTCTTTCACAATGCAATCGCATGACCAGGACTCAACTTCATCTTTAAAAAAGGGTTTATTACCAAGTGGGAATGAGATTGTACCTGATAGAAAAATATCGAGTAGGGCTCCTTTGGTAATTTGGTTCTGAACCATTGTTTTTAGATCTAGAATATAATCTTCAAGCTTCAAGCTCTTTGGGATACATGTAGGACACTTTTGGGGGCAGGTCATTTTCCCAAATTACAATTAGTCTTCAACGATTTATTTAGAATTATGTATTTGGTATGTTCAACTGCATGCAGTTTCAAGATTGCTTGCGTGGGTTTGAAAACACCTCATGTGAGACCCTAGACTTTACCAGGTGGGATGCATACCTTGATACACCTTGAGTTCAGTGTAGTTCAAGGAGCAACTCTCCCTGTCTGTCAACAGGCCGGCCTTCACACCTGGTCTCAGAGATTAAACAAAAATATGGAGAGAGAGAGGAAGATGGAGAGGAAGATAGAGAGAAAGAGGGGAGTGAGAGTGAGAGAGAGAGAGAGAGAGAGAGAGAGAGAATAATAAAGAAAAACAGAAAGAGAGGGGGTAAGATAGAGAGAAAACAAAAATGCAACCTCTTCTCTCCGCCCACATGATGACAAGTTAACAGTAGAAGGTGGATTTTGAGATTTACAGGGCACTTAAAGGAAAGTTCATTGTACAGTTGATATTATAATATATACAACAATAAATAAAAGCGGGAAAATGGTTGAAGCACGTTCATCTTGCTTTATTGCAGAGGCTGAGGGAGGTACAGTATCATACAAAAGCAGATCATTTCATCATTATTCCTTCTTAGACAAACTTGTGATGTAAAATGCACTGAAAAGAAAACCCAGGCTACCCAAACTGTACCTGTTAATTAATTTGGGGAATATTTGGTCACAGAAAATAAGTACATCTTCATAGAGCCTCATTTTTCACTTAAGGTGTATTATTTGCTTGGAAATAAGTTGAGAGGCACGTTGTACACCTGTACTTAAGTGAGAAAAAAAAATGATGATGTGCCATAAAATGAGAGAGAGAGACTTAGCCTGACATATATACAAAGGAAACTGATGAATCGCTTTTAGGTCCCTCAGCTAATGTTCGTAGTGCTTGCAATTGAAAAGGCAACCCTACATGTGTAGGGTGTCAGCTGGGATAAGCTATTCCTAATCAGGTATTATGTAAATCATATTTGTTAAAGAAGAGGGTTTTACAGATTGTGAGGGAGATACAATATGCAGATTACGATGTATTTTATTATGCACATTGTGTATGAACAAACTATGTGTACGAGGACACGTCCTACTAGGGCTTCT